GTTGAAATTATTACCATTAAAAATTTTGTTAAAGTCACTAATTATAACTGGAATTTTCCTAACTGTATATTTGTAATTTGAGTTAAATATTAGGGTTGTTTTGTAATTACAAAAGGAAAATACGAAAAATGAAAATGAAAAAACCTCTACAGTCGCAGATCAAGGTTCGAAGAAGATCTCTGGATCTCCCAAAACCTCACTTCCATCCCACTGTAAACCCTAGCTCAAATCCACCGGAAAATGGGAAAACTCTTGCCGGTTTTCGTCGCTTTGATCTCTATTCTTCCATTTCTCTGCAATTCATTCTCGCCGGAGAGTCCTACCGATCGCCGAGTCCTCGTCCTTCTAGACGATTTCGCGATAAAATCGTCTCACTCCCTCTTCTTCAAGTCTCTAAAGTCTCGGGGCTTTAACCTTGACTTCAAGCTCGCTGATGATCCGAAGATCGCCTTGCAACGCTACGGCCAGTATCTCTACGATGCCTTGATCCTTTTCTGTCCTACAATTGAACGTTGGTGATTCTGTCTTATCTTCTAGAACTAATAACGCAAATGTATTCTAATTTTTATAGTTCTGCATGAATTATTGGTTTTCATGTTGTAAATTAGAAAAAATGCCATGGGATGGGACTGCAAACTTCCTTGACGATAAATTGAGAAATTTAAATCTGTTATATTTTTACTCTTTTAGCAATTCTAATTTTAATTTTGATGGTCTATAATTACATGCATGATACTTGTTTGTCTGTTTAGGTTTTGGAGGATCTGTTGATGTTGCTGCCATTCTTGAATTTGTTGATTCTGGTCGTGATTTAATCATAGCTGCTGATGCCAATGCTTCTGATTTGATAAAGGAAGTTGCAACCGAATGTGGAGTTGATTTTGATGAGGTGGGACTACGCCAAAATGTTTTTTTTTTTTTTTCAAAATGTTTTTGTGTTAAATATTCTTTTAAGTTATTGTGTCTCTGAGGCCTGTCTTTTAGTTTCAGGCACCGATTTCCTTTCACACATGCTGTTTTGATGGCAATATTTACAAATGCTACTTTTATTATGGGTGCAGGAACCTGGGGCCGTGGTTATTGATCACATTAGCTATGCAGTTTCAGACATAGAGGGAGATCATACATTGATTGCGAGTGCTGATTTTATTAAGTCTGATGTGATCTTGGGAAGCAAGAAAATTGAGGTATGCTAACATTGCTAACGCTAATTCTTGGTTAAGCTTCTGTCTTAAGTGTCTTGAAGAGTTTCCCTTTGGTAAGAATTTGAGATTGTTTTCAGTCTTTTTGTTGTTTTAGATTGTTATTACTAATATTCCCCGCTAAATATATATTTAGATTCCTGAAGGCATTGACATGTAATTTTCAATCAAATATCTCTCTTTTAACTTTGAATTTTTTTTTAAAAAAAATTTGGTGGCTGTAAAGTTGGTGGGTATTTTCATTTACACTACTGATCCAAATTTCTGAATATTTTTTATTGAACCTGCGACAGGCTCCTGTACTTTTCCAGGGCATTGGCCATTCCTTGAATCCTGCAAATAGCCTGGTAAGATGCCTATATCTGGGCTTGCCAATACCAAGGAATACCATTTTCTCATTCAAATTCAATTCTCCATTGATAGCCATTGTCTTTCCAGTTTTTCCTTCATATTTTTGTCAATTCATTTACTATTTGTAGGTATTAAAAGTTCTTTCAGCCTCTCCTTCAGCCTACTCTTCCAATCCTAGCTCCAAGCTGTCAAATCCTCCATCACTGACTGGATCTGCTATCTCTTTAGTGTCAGTTGTGCAGGTATGTTGATGCCTTAGTCTTTACAAATGTTTTCTCATTATTGCAAAATGGAGTTGTCTCTTGAGGTTTTGCATCAAATTACTTCTATTTTGCTACGTGTATCAATTCCAAATTTCTATAAAATGTACCCAGAATGACTTTTCTCTTTTCTGTCCCTGGTTTCTGTAGGCAAGGAACAATGCTCGAATTCTTGTTACAGGATCATTAACTATGATCAGTGACCGGTATGTGATATTTCATTAGTTAACTGATTGTTTCCTGAATTAATGTTGAGACACTTGTGTGTGCTTTCACGCACATGTATTGGGACAGATGGGGAGCCTAGGAGGTGGCTATCTCCTTTTGTATAGCCTGCTACTCTTATATATGTCTGTATATAACTGTTGCTTTAAATCCTTGCTGAATATTAATTTAGTTAATGCTCTGCTGCTTGATTCCAGATTTTTCAGAGCTGGTGTGCAGAAGGCTGGGAGCCCTACTAAGTGAGTGAATTTTATTTACTAATAAAATTTTGGCTATTTATGGTATCTATCTGCCTAAATGCTAATCTTATAATTTTGAGTTGGTTAAATGCCTGAAATATTGGTTTCCAATGCCAACTGCTCTGTGATTGAGTATTTTTTGACATATAAAGGATAAAGGCTATCTTGGGTTGGGCATTGTTTTAGGAATTAGAAATGATCTCATCAAACATGGTAGTTAGTTATTAAATGCATTTTCGAACATCCCAAAATATTGCTTTTTAACAAACATCAGAAAAGGAAGTGGCTTTTATGCATTACAACTCCATCATTAAGAAGTTGAAAGGAGCATTTAGTTCAGCATAATCAAGCCCCTCCTCTAGTGCTGCATACAAAACTGCAGCATTCATCTTTGGGGGGCTTAATAATTGGACTGATTTTCTTCTTAAATTGAGAAATTTATTTTGTGATGGCAGACACAAGAAATCGGGTAATGAGCAATTTCTTACTGAACTTAGCAAATGGGTTTTCCATGAAAGAGGACATCTTAAGGTCAGATGCTTTAATCAACTGTGTTATTGTAGTTTCTATACGTCCTTGGTTAGGCATGTGCTTTGAGAAATCATGATATATTTATTATTGTTCTTTTATAGTAATTCTTTTATGACTTCTAGGCCTTGAATGTAACACACCACAAAGTTGGGGAAGCAGGTGAACCTTCTATGTACAGGATCAATGATGAGTTGGTAACATTCTTCTATATTCCATTTCAAGTTCAGAAGTCCTGCTACTGTGGCATTTTAACTAGAAACAAATGAGTTTGTTTGCTTCTCTCTATGTGACTTTGGTTAGGAATACTCAGTTGAGATCTATGAATGGTCGGGAACAAACTGGGAAGCATATGTTGCTGATGATGTCCAAGTGCAGTTTTACATGATGAGTCCCTATGTTCTGAAAACCCTATCAACGGACAAGAAAGTATGTCACTGGCATCCTGATCTCATTTATGTATCGTATATCAGCATTCTATTTTCATAAGTTATTCATAACATAATTACTTTTTCTCCTGCAGGGTCTCTATTCCACAGCATTTAAGGTGCCAGATGTTTATGGTGTTTTTCAGTTCAAGGTCGAGTACCAAAGGCTTGGATATACTAGTTTATCCCTTGCAAAGCAGGTATTTTATTTTATTTTATTTTCATAATTCCTGATGGATTTTCCTTGACTCAATTTTAGTTGAGACTAGTTTTTGGCTTGTAATTTTAGGAGATTATTTTGAATGCTAACTGAAGTCTTTGTTTCAGCCTTTGAGGTCTAATTGTCCCATATAATAAAGTGATTGTGCAAGTATGACAATTTGATCTTGCAGTTTCAAGTATAAACTCATTTCATGTTGATGTGCATTTGCAGATCCCAGTCAGGCCTTATAGACACAATGAATATGAAAGATTCATACCAGCAGCTTTTCCCTACTATGGGGGTGCATTTTCTATGGTACTATTCTCTCTCTCATCCATTTTGACTTAGAATTCATTATATATCAAAATGAAACCCATGTTAGGAAAATAAACCTCCACAACTGCCATAATCTCTTAAGAATCTGGACATTTAATTATTTATGTTCTAGAATTAAGCTATAGTTGCCACCTCTGGCTTGGGTTGTGGATATGCTAGGCAAATTGTTATTAACATAATTTGGCTGAATTGAAAATCCCAATTTGGGTAACCAACCTTCATTGACGACCCTAAACTTCTATGACATCCTTATGAGATTCATACTGATATTTTTGTACTTTTTTTTTATGTGCAGATGATTGGATTCTTCATCTTTACCTTTGTCCACTTATACAGCAAGTAGACTTCGGCATTTTTATTAAACATGCATGATATCGCCTTTTTGTAATCTGAGCGAATAGAGAACTAGAAATTGATTGAAATACTAGAAAGTTTACTTTGTCATCGTATTTTGCCGTTGACATTGAGTAGCAATGGAAAATGTTCTACTTTTTGCAGGTTCTACTATTGAGAAGTGACGGTTTTTTTTTTTTTTTTGAGTTGGAAGTTCTGAAATTCATCCATTTTTAACGGCTTAATTATTCCACTTTATTCAATTTACACAAGTGTTACGTTCGTGAAACTCCACTTCAATGTTGGGATTAAAGTGAGTCTTCGAAATTACAATAATAGTCAAATAAGGGATTTAATATGGTTTTTAGTTTTTAGCAATATATTTTTGTTGCCAACAGTTTAAGTAGCTTGGTATTAATCTTTTCCTTACAGAAGTAAAAGGTTTTGTGTTTAAGAAGTGTAGCATGCAGGTCGGGCAAGTTAAGGGGTAAAAAGTGTTGCTTTTCTTATGCAACTCAATATTAAAAAAAAAAAAAAATTATATTTTTGTTATGGGTTTCCTTTAGAAGATTTGGCAAAAACCTTTGTCTGAGTTGTCGAGGGTTTTGGAGGGTAAGAAGAGAAGAGTAAGGGGAGGTCTTTCCTAACCATTTCCCCTTGTTTGGATAATAACTTTATTAAAGGAAGAAGGAGATGGAGAGATTATAAAGCCCCTCTAAATCCTTTGTTTCTAATCCCTCTAATTTCATCATAATAGTGCATACCAATCCAGCACCTATTAAAAAACCAGGATCCCAACTAAAAAAATCATTTTGTCTCGAAAAAGGAAAAATTCAAGGATGCTAATGGCCTAGAATAAAAGGGAAAAATAGTATAAAGATCCCATTGAAAGTTTCATACAAGTTCAAGGGCTCAAAGTGGTTTTTAAAAAACAGAGAAGGCATAAATTAAAGGGGAAGAGAAAGAAAGCCAAGACGATTAGAAAACTCGTTGGGGAAGCCGAAAATCTCCGAACAGTATCAATCCCGCTTCAGAGATCGAATACAGTTCTCAGAACAGAACCAGGTAGTTTCTTCATCTCCTTTTATCCTTCTTCTGAAGCGTCTTCATACCTCTCTTTCTCCTTTTTACAATCATGTTGTGCGACCAACAGTTCGAGTATTAGATGAAGCTTCAGAGATTTGGGTCTGTTAATCGTTTGAATCTTAGGGTTTATATATTTGGATCGCTTTAATTCAATTGCCTACTGTAAATTGCTCTAGATGCCTACAAAACGAAACTAAAATAACAAAATGAAGGAGACAAGAGGCTGCCATCTCTTCTGGTTTTGGCTTTCAATTCTGTGTTTCAAGTTTTGATGTATCATTGGTGTTGTTTAATAGATTTCGGCTCCGTTGATCCCTTTTGTTTAGTGGTTGTGGTTTGGATGGTTGGAATTCTTTTCATTCTAATTTCAGTAAAATAGTTCTTTTATTCTTTAAGGTTGTTTAGTAAATTGCTATTGTTTACTTATGTTTCTGGTCTTGATTAAAAAAAAAAAAAAATTTCTGGTCTCCCTATACTGGTTTGCAGATTTTGGTTTTGTTTTGCTGAAGTTCAGAGGCCTTCTCTGTGTTCGTTTCTCTGTTTAATACATTTAAGCTGATGTAAATATATTAATATAATTTGATGTTTACATTTTAAGCTGATGTTCGTTTGTTAATATAATTTAAACTTTTCCCATGCAAAAGAACAGAAGCTTTCATTGTATTTTGGATTTTCTCAAGTCTCCATTTCTTGAAATTCATTCTAATTCAATAGGACAAAGTTTTTTCTTTACTTATATGTAATTGCTCTTTTACTCCGTGTATGTGTTCATGCTTGTTTGAAAATTTGAGTTTCTAATGTGCAAAAAATTATTAGGTTAATGTTCATCATATCTGTGTTTTTAAAACTGAATTCTCTAATTACATCTTGGAAGAAACTCAGCTTAAAATTTTGATATTGATGTTCTGTTTTATACTGGGGTCTTTGATAGGAATGAGTCAACTGAAGCGTAAAAGGCCAGACTCCAATTCTGTAGCTGATTCACTAACTGAACATGAGCGTGTTGTTTATGATGCAATCCGGAGCAAGCAAGAGATGGGTATCTCCCAGCGAGACTTGAAACGAGAAATTAACCTTCTAGACAAGTTGGCTAGTAAATCACTCAAGTCGCTTCAAGACAAAAATCTGGTGAGACTTGTGCCAAACTTTCAGAGCAAGGGGATGAAGCACTACATTGCAGCAGAGTTTAACCCTTCAACAGAAATCACTGGTGGAGCGTGGTATACTGATGGCAGTCTTGATTCCGATTTTATAGGTGTTCTAAAAGCTACATGTCTAAAGTTTGTACCAAATCTAAAGGTTGCTACACTGGAGGGATTTGTGGAAGCTGTCAAAAAAAGTAGAGTTTCACAGGTTGAATTGTCAAAGAAGCAAATTGAAGAGCTTGTTGAGTCTTTGGTTTGTGATAATGAGCTGATGAAAGTGAAGAGTACGGGAATTGGGGAGTTTGCGTCTATTCCAGTTGGGAAAGTTTGTTATAAACGCATCGATAAAGGCAATAGAGTTAGTGGAACAATGGCTTCCATTCCATGTGGAGTTTGTCCACAGATAAGTATCTGCACCCCTGATGGTATAGTGTCCCCCAAAACCTGCGTCTACTACAATACCTGGTTAGATTTTTAGCTCAACAGCATCTTTCTATTATCTTTATGCTGTGATTTTGGAAAATCTAGGAACAACTTTTTTTTCATTTTCCCTTTTTTGGGAATGTTATGTGTGGTCTTAGTTCAACTATTTTCATTTTGAGACGTGGTGGAACCTTTGCGGCATCTAGAATCAAGAAGAGCACTAGGAAAAGTTGTCATCTCACCTTTACCTCTGTCTTTGATAAAAGATCATCAAATTTAATTTTTAGCCTAACCGTAACCGTCTTTGATTAGGAAGGAATAGGCAGACTCCTAGTCTCCAAATAAGTATAATTAATGGACATTACAGGTTAAAAACATAAAGTTATATTGCTATTGCCTTGTCTGTCCCTGGGGATGCCGGGGTGTAATTTGTACATACTTCTTTGAGGGGAATTTTTGAGGAATACAAACTTGTCATATCCCTAAAAAAACCTTACATTGCCTTATAGTTTAAACATGAGATCCCAACTTCGGGTTTAAATATGAGATCTGCAACCTGGAGTCTATAGGTTTTAGTCAATTAAGCCACCCTTTGAAGGTTTAGGTGTAACAAGCCACTGGCATTGTTGTCATTTTATCCGAAGGAGATTCTGAATCATGTTGAGAACTGCTCTCATTTACGTTGAATGGGTTGACAAAATTATACCTCATTATATAATTAAAAATTAAAATAGATGTACCTTAACCTTACTAATTAAAAATTAAAATTATGCTTTCAGGCAGGGGCATCATTTAAGAGTTTTGTAGAGTACAGCCAAACTATTCAAAACTCAATTACTCTCGCCAGTCTTTAGACTTTAGAAGTCTAAGATCTTATTTCATGGATTCAAGAATTGTAATTCAAATTTAACTTTTTAAATTTTAACTTTGTAAAAGATTTAACTAAAAATTGAAAATTTTTTAAACTCTGTGTCCAAAAAATAGAGGGATTGCACCCTATTAATGTTTGAGGGTAGAAATTGCAAAATACTGTTAAATGAAAGTATACAAAAGAATTTAGCTCAAATCCACTGACCATTTAAAAGATCACTGGATCTCCCAAAACTTGACTCCCATCACACTGAGAACCATGGCTCAAGTCAAATCCAAGGATAAATGGAAAAACTTGTTCCACTAACACAAAGTTTTGTTTTTGAAAAAAAATGGTTACAGTTGTACATTAAAGTTATGGATCAAAACCAATTTCAAAAGTAAGTACTGAAGAAATTGAATGTATGGTGAAGATTACTAAAAACGCCTTCAAGGAAAAGGAAGAAGGAAGGCGTTATCAGCGAAATCTCCAGCTTCGCTCTTGGCCTCCCATGAATCAGATAGCTACTTATATTAAGTTCATCTGGGATTATGAAGGCCACGTCCAATTTTTTTTTCTTTGAAAAAAGATTAAGAAAAAACGACTTTAGAGTGTGGAGAAGAGAACTGAAGAAAATACTGCTGGCTGGCTGTTCCTCAACTAGCTGTGCCTCAACTATTCATTTCGGCGTCGCCCTCTCACCGTTAGAGGTAACCCATGTTTCCAATTTATAGGGATTTTGGGGCAAAGCGGAAACCCTAGTTAAACGGAGACAGCTCTCAGTTTTCATTTTTTCATGTTTTGGTCCTCGGGTTTTATATAATTTTTTTTTTCAGCTCTGATCTTTCCTTTTTGTTTTCTTGTTTCTGGTCCTTTTATTTCTTTTTCTGATATATATATTTATTTATTTATTTTTGTTTCCATGTACACCTATTTTTGCAAATTGATTAGAATAAGTCACGGCTCAATTTGTTTTGAATTTGAAAGAGTTAAGAGTTAATAGTTATAGTCTTATATTTAGATTAACTTCAATGGTTGTTATCACATAGTTAGCAAATTAGTTGGTCTGTTGTAAATCTTGAGCATGTTGCCACTAATTTTTAGAATTTTGTTGCAACTCTACACCTTACCATTGTTGATTCAAGAGGTTGTTGCAGATTTTATGTGATTGTTGGTTTTCAAGATGTTACTAATAGAACTCTATCATGTTGTCAAGGTGCTCTAAATAAGTGACAATAAGATCAAGTAAGGAAGACTTGCCTCTCACACAACTAGTCTAGTGCTATATGCATTTTAATTTTCACAAACAATATCTTAATTTAAATCTAACTTTCTCAAACAACTTTTCTACTTTAGTCCTCAGCTCTACATTGCCACTAGCTTTAACTTTAGTTTTTATTATTTTGTTTTGAACATCTCCACAGATGAATTTAATTTCTTGTAATTCAATTTACTGCAGTTTACTATAAATTAATCTTCCAAACTTCCTTTAAGTTTAGTTTTATGTTGCAACCTTTATTTCATTATTTATGCTTACATGCTTTTGTGACGGCATTGTGTTTCCTCTTTGCAATTTAGTTTTCTTGCCATGCACTCTCTTTCTTCTCTTTTCCTTTATTTTTCTCTTTTATTTTGATCAACAAATCAATATTTTGGCCCTAGTTGTGGGAAGCCCTTGATGTTCTTCCAAAATAATTATTTATGGACCTTTATGCAAGAATGCATCTCGTTTTTGCGACAATCGTCTAACTAGGGTGCATCTTTTAATTTATTTAACTAATGCTCTTCCATTGACTTGTAGTTAAGTTTCACGCTTGGAAGTACTAAGAGTTATTAGGAATCCCTCTTTCTTACTTTGAGCAAAGTGAATGACACGCCTTCGTAGTCTTATTTAGCATATGACTAGAAAAAGAGATTTTGAAGACAATAGTTTCTAATTTTTTCAAATACTTGTTAAATATGGTAATGTAAAATGAATAAAAATAAAATAAAAGGCAAAAAGATCTAATTCAATTAAATGTAAAAATAAAATAAAAAGTAAAAAAATTGCTCATCCCTTCATTTTTCCTCTCTAGCCCTCTTGTCTCTCTTTATCCTATTTCTCTTCTCCCTCCCCTTCACTCTATACTCTCCCTATTCAATTTAGTTGTTTTACTTTATTTATTTACAATTATTCAAAAAATTCATTTATTACAATAATTATAATTTATTTTTCTATTTTCACCTTTACTTCTAATTAAACAAAAATATCCTAATGCATAAAAAAAATCTCTTTATTTTATCTTTGCTAAGAGTAATAAAAATAAAAACATAAATTATTTCTAAATCTTTAGTCTAAAAATAAAATTAAAAATATTTATTATTTTAAGACAAAGGAGGATATTACTTTAACAAAAAGAAATAAAGATAAAGTAAAACTTCTGAATAATAGTAAGATTAAAATAAAAGAAAATTATTTTCACCTTTATTATATATAAAAACATGACAATTTAAAACAAAATTTAAGTTAAAAAACAACTTTATTATGGAACAAATGGTGCAATTTCGGTTGTAAATAAGCCAAGCTAAGTATTTGAATGCTCAAGGCCAAGTTCAACTCCTAGGTAACAAGCTTGAGCTGGGATTTGTTGAACTCAAAAAAATTAAAGTTTAAGCTCAACTCATTTATCGAATAAATTAAAATTATTAATTTATTTATAATTTAAAATAATTAAATTAAATCAAATAATATACTTATTTGAATTTTTTTAATCTAAACAAGCTACCTAAACATATAGTTCGAACTCATTTAACAAACAAACTGAATTCAAACCAAGTTTTTTTTTTTTCTACAAAGATAATAATTAAAAAATTAATTAATTAATTACTAATAACTAAAAATTTAATCTTCAAATCAAATAAATATTTCACTCCTCAAATAAGTGCCACGGCCAACGGGGACCGCTTTGGTGGAGTTCGAATTCAAACCAAGTCTAAATTGAGTAATTTACGAGTAACTCACAAGATGCTCGCTTGATTCCGGGTGGTGTTATTGCCACAGCCACTAATGTTAATGCCACAGCTTTTTTTAGTTATTTGACCATTAACCCACGCGGAGAAGGTAGTGACTGCTGCAAGTTGGATTCAAACGAGGGGTATAATAGTCAAATAACTAAAAAAAGCTGTGGCATTAACA